CATTCGCAAAAATTAGTCCAATGAGGGTGGTATTGTCCACATCTTTATTAGCTTCAAGGACCCATGCCTGGAGGTGCAGTGGTTGGTACACAGGGAGAAGAGCATGGGAAAAAGAACACAGCCCTGTGGAGCTCCTGTGTTTTTAATCCGAGTATCTAATGGTGCTTTCAGACCGGATCATGCGTTGCGTCGGGTTTCAATGCAAAGTCTATGGTGACTCGCGTTCGAGCATCACAACGCACGGACCTCTCGGCACGCACGAACGGACTGTTCAGTAGACACGCACGGACTTGGCGGGAAAGTCCAAGGGGAGGAGCAGGACCGGAAAATCGACGCCCACAGGAGATGGATTCTGTTCATCCTTTCCTTGGGACGTTTTGTGCGACAACCAATCAGAGAACAGCAAAGTGGTCACGCACTCGTATAATACTCGTAAACAGCCAAAACAGGACCCACACCAATGGGGGACTCTGTGCTTGTGAATATATGCGTTGTCATGCTCCCGTGACCTTATACAACTGCTTCGAGTGTGTTCGGCAATGCGGAAATACCGTTTAATAATATGAAAACACTTATGGCGCACCTCCGTGAACACATACTACTGTTATATAAAGCCCGTGGAAGGTCTCTGTTCAAAGACACGCTGCAAAGCTACATATTGGAGAAGAGCTGTACACAAGAAGCCGCTAGCTAAACTCTGTTAGCATCATAGCCTGTCGGCTACTTCCGGCACTTCCGGTGCGCGTCAGGACATCTCGGTGTGAAGACTAGAGAATGCGCGTCTGGTGAGCGGGGCTTCAGCGTTGGCGGTCTGAAAGCACCATAAGATGATCTTCCCCAGGCACACGCCCTACCTCCTGTCCGTCAGTAAGTCACTGATCCATCTGCAGGTGGAGTTGACACGTTGAGCTGCGAGAGATTGTCCTAGAGCATGGATGGCAGGATGGTGAGCAGGAATGGCAGTTTGAAGTCCACACACAGGACCCTGGTATAGGTTCCTGGTGAGTCCAGATGCTGCAGACTGTAACTAACACAGAAGTCCATTAACTGAACACCATTTGGGTTCAGATAATGGGGATAGTTTTACCCAATCACCTCTCTCCAGGTATCACTGCCGTTTTCGCCCTCTGTCACTGTGATATAACCAGCGGAACCTGTTATTTTTCTTGAATTGTGTCACTTTGTTAATAATCAACTATGTCAAAAACGGTCATATAGAGGCTCCTTTGCGCCCCTCAAACAGTGGATGCTTGTCACATGGCATTTCACTCCCCTCCCTCAAATATGTTTTGCAATGAAAAATATCCATCAGATCTATAGGTATATATAGATATATAGGTTCTCAGACACAAAAGTAGTACAATGGCTCTTCTACCACTTTTTTTATTCATGATTAATCTGTGATATCCTTGGCTGGGCTTGGTTGTGATATCAATTCTCAGTCTTTTGAATCAAATGTCTTTCTTGTCAAGACTGTGTCTGATTTTCTGTTGTCATTTCTTACAGCCTTTATGTAAATGTATTTAAAAATGAGGCATCTAACTGTCGATATTTTCAGGGAGTGGGGTATGCACCTCACGCTACAATACTTGCCAGGCTGCCTCTATCTTGTTGAAAAACCCTAGTTGAGACCCCTGAGATCCTTAGCTGTTAGCCCCCGAGTTTACCCTTTCTAAAACTTTACAGTAATGAAAATGAATAGGTTTCCTGTCCAAAATTGTATTGCCTTTTTGAAGAGAGACTTGATGGGTTTTAATGTTTTCTGTTGTGTATGTCCATGTTGTAAATAAATCATTTATATGTGAGAATATCATGGCATGCAAATATAACTTCTCAAAAATAATATTCCTGACCTGTGTTCCTTGGACTTCATGATGCTGTTTATTGACCAATACACTTCACTTTGCTCTGAGGCCCTCAAAGAACATAATTAAGAAATTAATCATTAGGAACATTTCAAAAGTAAAATATAAAATATGGTTTTTGGTCGTAAACTTGACAAAATGTATACAAGTTCAAGTTGTATTAGTGTTTTTTAAATACAGTTTTTATACCATAAGGTTAAGGTTCTGGAAAACGGCCCATCTCCAGTGCCAACTCCAGTGCCAACTCAGCAGTAAACAGTACATGTTTTTTTTTTCTACAGGACTGATATTAGCGTATTGTTATTGTAAATATTATGTCCCTGGAGAAATGGCAAACCATTGTATATGAAAATAACAATAACTACCTATTCCTATGTCTTCATTAGTTTACAGATTTTTGTGGACTGGTTTCAGAAAGAGTGTGTGAAGGACGAGTATGTGTGTGTGTGTGTGTGTGTACACATGCATGCGTAGGTCTGTGTGTGTGTACACATGCATGCGTAGGTCTGTGTGTCCGTGTGTGTGTATGCTCAGTGAAGGGGAGGGCTGTATGTGCGCAAGTGGGGGAGGGAACCATACTGTTTGTTAGTGTGTGTGTTTGTGTGTGTGTGTGTGTGTGTGTGTGTGCACTTGTTTTCAACTCCTGGTGGGTTCCATAACCTGAGATTCCACTCACGTCATGGGGACTGGTTTTACGTGGTGGGGCCCGAACACCGGACCCCACTGGTCCAAGCTTAATAATCAATGGGTAATGCTTTTCTAACGGTCCTTATGCAGTCTCTGTAAAAATATGGAAAGGACCCCTGGAGGTTTACTTTCCTGAAAAAAGTGTGTTATGTGTCGGAACCCTGGTGGTGGGTTGCGGGATATCAAGGAGGGGCACACTGGGGCAATTTCAGTCCAGCAGGCTGGAGCCAATCATGGAGCAGCACAACAGAGGAAATCAGGTGTCAGGCTAGAAAAAGGTGCAAGTGTGTGGTTCATTAGGCTGCAAGAAATCATGGAGGAGCACACTGAAGCGCACGCTTACAAACCACTGGTAAGTGCTGACTACAAGTCATGACTTCAAATTGTTATATAGAATGATTACAAATTATTTGTTGTTTGTGCAGCTTAGTCAAGAGTCCCTAATTGATGAAGTCGACTCAGATTCTGACGATTTAACTGTCAAGAAGAAACCTGTAAAAAAGTATGGAAAAAGAAAAATCAAAAACACTTTTCTTCAAGACTCGGAAAGTGACGAACCAAAGGCAAATAAGATTGTTATCATGCAGCTGCAAAAGAAGAAAAATGGGGGGCGAGTATACAGCAAGAGACACTTCTGCCTCTACTGTTCAATGTCCTGCCACAAAATGTCCCGTCATTTGACTAGAAAACATGGAAATGAAAGTGACGTAGCCAGAGCATTGGCTCTACCTGTGAAATCTAAAGCACGTAAACTTCAGTTTGATTTGATCAGGAATAGTGGAAACCGTGAGCACAATTTTGAGGTTTTAAAGGCCGGCATTGGAACTTTAGTCCCAGCTAAACAGCCAAATTCCCCAGTTAAATCCAGTGAGTTTTTGCACTGTATAGACTGTGGGGCATTGCTTAAGCGAAAGTCGCTGTGGAGGCATGTGGCCAGGTGCCGGCTTTCACAGAAAGATGCCCAGGCTAAACCAGGTAGAAGTAGGGTCCAGTCCCTCTGCTCCCTAGCCCAGCCTGTACCGGAGGGCATCAGCAAAAAGCTGTGGTCTTTAATTTCGGCAATGCATCAGGATGAGGTCACGGGTGTTGTCAAAGCAGAAAAGGGGATTCTGAGACTCGGAGAGCACCTGTACTTAAAACACGGGCATGATAAGACAAAGCATGATTACATTAGGCAGAAAATGAGAGAAGTCGGTAGGTTAATTAACGAAGCAAAAACCGCAGGGAAACTGAAAACAATTAAGGATTTCTTTATTCCTTCCAACTTTAACCATGTGATTGATGCAGTCAGGTCTGTGGCTGGATATGATGAGGAAACAAATCAATACAAGACTCCATCCTTGGCCCTCAAACTCGGCCATAGCCTCAGAAAGCTAGCAGATATTCTTGAATGTGACTCAAAAATGGAGCATTGTGTTGATGAACTATTTATTAAAAACCTCCAACGAAGCCGGCTGCTTTTTGAGAAGAGGTGGGACGTCTGTGTTTCTTCTGCTGCCCTACAGACCCTCCGGCAAGCCAAGTGGAACACTCCGGACCTGCTCCCTCTGACTGAGGACGTTAGAGCCATGCATGCACATATTGAGGTATGTCGACCTGAATATGTGCAAACCCTAATAAGTGAGCCAACGTCTAAGCATTGGTCTAAACTGGCAGTTTTGACTCTTTGTGAGGTCATCATTTTCAATCGAAGAAGGGAAGGTGAGGTTTCAAAGATGCCACTGACAGCCTTTACCTTAAGAAGTAAGACTGGGATCCATTCTGACATTGCTCTGGGACTGTCCCAACTTGAGAAAAAGCTGTGTCAGCATTTTCAACGCATTGAAATTAAAGGGAAAAGAAGTCGGAAAGTGCCGGTTCTTTTGACTCCTGAAATGATTGCTTCGATGGAGGTGCTGGTGGAGAACAGAAGGGCCTGTTCCATCTCTGACCATAACCCATACTTCTTTTCCCGCCCGGGCGCAGACACCCACATCAGGGGATCAGACTCCCTACGCCAGGTAGCCAAAGAATGTGGTGCGGTGCATCCAGAGATGCTATCCTCAACCAAACTTAGAAAGCACATAGCTACTATGTCTACAGTTCTCAATATGAAAGAGAATGAGATGGACATACTTGCCAACTTCCTCGGCCATGACATTCGCATCCACAGGCAATATTACAGACTACCAGAGGGGACACTGGAGCTGGCCAAAATCAGCAAAGTGTTGATGGCCATGGAGCAGGGAAGAGTGACGGAATTCGAAGGAAAGAGCCTCGACCAGATACAAATTGAGCCTGAAGGTAATTCTTGATATTATTAAAATATGTATGATTTTTTTCCCCTAAAGGCCACTTGTATTTTTATTTTCTGTGCGACAGGGAGAGCAGTAGAGATCCTCTCACAAACGGACGGGCTAAAAGAAACTTCAAGCGGAGAACCTTCAACCATTCATCCAGATGCACCCCATGGTAGTGGCAGTGCCCCTTCTGGTAAGTGTACCAGGTGGGGGATTACAGCCAGGCTGCTTGGTCCTCATCCTGGGAGTGTATATTGCTAATATATTTTTATTTCTCTCCCTAGAACGTGTAAGAAAGCCATGGTCTGCATCTGAGGTGAAGGCTGTGGAGAAGACCATGACACCTTTCATACAGACTGGAAAGGTCCCTGGGAAGTCTCACTGCCTGGCCTGCATTAATGCCTCACCAGATGACCTTAGACATCGGACATGGAGTGGCATTAAATTCTATGTCAAAAATAGAATCACTGCAATTCGAAAACAAAATCTAAAATAAAATTCCTTTAAAATAGTTGTTTGGTTTCTATTGACTGTTTTGTATTACTTAAAGTCTTGGTAAAAAAAGATTATGTCTATGGGTCCCATTCTGAACGGCCCTGTCAAAGGGACCCACCAGGTAACAAAAACGTGTATGTGTGTGTGTGTGTGTGTATGTGTGTGTGTGTGTATAAGCTCTGTGGGACACAGGTCACTGTCTGTTTTGTATAACAAAGTTTCTATCAAAATCAGATGATTAAGCAGAGTTTCTGAATTGTTGGGGTATTATATGCAACATTAATTTACATTTAGGATGTAACCATTACATATTAGAAGCCCACAGGGTCACCAGGTGTCTCTCCTTCTTAACATAAAACACATAATGTTAGTGTTTCAAGATTGTGGTTCTAATGCAAATTACTTTAAGAAAAAACACTAAGAAAAGCAGACATGGTTGTGTGTGTGTGTGCTTGTGTGTGTGGGAGAGCGAAAGCACATCAGAGGGAGAAAGTCAGATGAGCAAAGAGCTGTTGCGTGCGGCAGGAGGTGTGTGCGTTCGTGTGTGGGTGTGTATGTGTGTGTGTGTGTGTGTGTTATGCAGAGAGCAGAGAGGGAGGAGATGAGACAGCGGCTGTGTGTGTGTGTGTGTGTGTGTGTGTGCTTGTGTATTTATTACATTGTGGGGACTAAAATTTGTACACACTTAATTCATGGGGACCAGCCTATTCTATGGCAATAACGATCATGTCGTCAATATGCAAATTGCACATAACATGGTTTAAATATAGGTTAAGTAAAAAATAAGTCTTGCGTCCCCCAAATGCCGGGAAACCCAACGTATGTGTGTGTGTGTGTGTGTTTGTGTGTGTGTCAGTTTAGAAGCAGCAGACAGGGAGGGGTTGTGTGTGTGTGAGTGTGTGTGTGTGTGTGTGTGTGTGTGGCTTGGAAACAGAAAAAAAGCTTGTGTGGTATGCTGTGTGTGTGTGTGTGTGTGTTTGCTCATAGGCTGTGTATTTGTACATTTTCTGCAGTCAGAAGTATGTGTGTTTATCTCCAAACAAGGCAAAATGTGTTTATGCATACATTTTATCTAAGGATGAGTCTAACAGACCGTTAGAGTGTACAAATTATGTCACAAATAATATAAGTATTATTGTGTGTGGGTAGATACAGTGGGGCAAAACATTATGTAGTCAGCCACCAATTGTGCAAGTCCTCCCACTCAAAAAGACGAGCAATGCTTGTAATTTTCATCATTGGTATACCTCAACAAAAATCCAGAAAGTCACACTTTGGGATTTTTAAAGAATGTTTTTGGTTATGTTGGAAAATAAATATTTAATCAACAACAACAGTCAGAGGCCAACAGTTAAATCTTCAGATGGGCATGAACATGTACTGGAGCATGGGGGTGGAAACACCATTCTTTGGGGATTTTTTTCTGCAAAGGACCCAGGATGATTGGAAAGAATGAGAGAGGCCATGTATCATGAGATTTTGAGTGAAAACTTCCTTCCATCAGCAAGGGCATTGACGATGAAACGTGACTTGGTCTTTCAGCATGACAATGATCCCAACTAATTCAAAAAAATTCAATTACATTTATCATTCCCTAAATCACTACAGTAATTCTTTCGGAGGACTTCATAAAGCCGTCGAATTCACCAACACAGATCAGAGAATCCGACAGTTCAAACACAAGAAAAACAATGATAGAAAAACACATTGAGCCATTGGTCCCTAAGGGGCAGATGACCAATGTCCTCAAATGTTGATAAATGTCCATAAATGTTGTGGAAACACACTGCCCAGGCAAGGAAGGGCAACCAAGCAAGTTGAAAGTCTTTGTTGCCCAGCAACAGCCCCAAAGCATCACTGCTCTTAAAGAATTCTGTATGGAGGAATGGGCCAAAATACCAGCAATAGTGTATGAAACCTTTTTAAAAATGAGAAAAAATAATGTACCTGTGTCGCCTGCAATGGGTACAGAACAAAGTGTTGAAATGCATGTTCTCCGCGTGTCTGTGTCGGTTTCTTCCACCATTTCCACCAGTTTCTCCTACCATTAAAAACATGTACAATACTTCAAGATGAATGAGTGCATGTTTGTGTTTGCGACTACAAGGCTACAATCCAAATAAACCAACAAAAATACATAAAATTTAAAAAAATCTAGTTGGCCGACCAATATTTTATGTACACCAGACTCTATTCCATTTTATTGGCATGTATTGGCACTTCACATCTGCAGCCACCCACTGTGGCACCTAGTGTTCTCAGGAGTACTATCACAGTACTAACCAGGTTCTGTCCTGCTGAGCTTCTAAGATCTGACAGGATCAGGCTTTTACGTGTGTGGCCACACGTGACAAGCTGCATATGCAACTTTTCGAGGTGAAAAGTAAGTGGAAGTACTATGGCTGTTTTCAATCCGTTTTGGTCAGTCTTTGGTTAAATTGATCAACAAAATGGATTGTTAGTTCTTAGAATCAATATTTGTTGGTTTGTTTATTCATGTATTTGTTTTAGTCATCCTAAAAACAAATGTTTAGTACAGTAGAAGATTACACAGCAGTGTGTTTTTAGAATATAGACACACTGACATTGGTCTATCATCAATAGAGAAACAGCTTCATTCAAAGTTCAGACATGGGTTTAAATCAGTTAGGGATTAGTATAGCCAAGTCCATGATCCAGGTTAGTTTCAACAGATGTAATGTTCCTTAGAAGCTTGAAAACCAAACACGTAGTAAGTAAGTAATACAATGAATGCAGAGAGCAGGAAATACATGTCCATACAATATCTGTGCAAGTATGGAGGTGATAGTTTATAATTTTAACTTTCAGAGCATTGATAACATAACAGTCTCTATTGAGCAAACTTTTATGTAGACAGTTGATTCCAATAAGAAAAGGAGTCAATGAATCCTCCTTGCTGTTGATGCCCACACTTCTTAACTGTGCCATTGGCCTCTTGGACCACTGATGTCGGGAAAGTGTCTTGCAGTTTGGCTCTATACAGCCTTAGTACCTGGTGTTCCTAGAGGTCTCCTATCACAGTACTAACCAGGCCCTGAATGTCCAGACAAGTAGACATGTATGGAGAGGTACACTTTTGCGCAACAAAAAATGGAAATGATGTGTATCATGTGTACACTTGTTTTCTGATCTCTCTTCGAGTCTGTGTGTGGCAAATGTTCAAATATCTTTCTTTGTGGAAATGCAGAAAAGTGTGTCTCCAGGACGGAACGTGAGACTGCTTTGGTTATTGGAGTGTTAGCAGGAGGAGGAGGCGTGTGTGTGTGTGTGTGTGTGTGTGTGTGTCTGTGCACTCTTTGTGCTGTTGCTGTGCCGTGTGTGTGCGTGTGCTGTGTGCCGTGTGTGCCATGTTTGCCTGTGTGTGTTTGTGTGGGTGTGAGCTGTGTGTGTGTGCTATGCGTGGCTGTGTGCTTGGTTGTGTGTGTGTGTGCTTGGTTGTCTGTGTGTGTGTGCTGTGCTGGGCTCCGCTGTGTGTGTGTGCTTGGTTGTGGGTGCTGTGTGTGTGCGTGAGTGTGAGCTCAGTGTGTGTGTGTACTGTGCGTGGCTGTGTGTGTGTGCTGTGTTTGTGTGTGTGTGTGTACTGTGCGTGGCTGTGTGTGTGTGCTGTGTTTGTGTGTGTGTGTGCACTGTGTGTGCGCGGTGCATGAAAGTGTGTGAGTTGCGTGCCTCATTGCTGTCGGGGAGGGAGGGGTGTGCGTGCAGGGTTGTGTGTGTGTGCATGTGGGCCATGGAGGGGGAGGGTTTCAGTCTGTGGTGTGTGTGTGTGTGTTTGTGAGCCTTAGTGTTGTCACGAGAATCACATTTCAAAGTCGATTTCGATATTATTGGGCCGACCTTAAACAAAATATAATTCTCAGTGTCACAGTGATGGTTTAAAATGCTTATTTTTGGGACAACAAGTTAGAATGTTTTTTGACTACCCTCATTCACCCAAATGTATTTTTAACCCCAGATTTTTTTAAAGTAAGTTTTTCATAAGTTGTTTACCTTTACTCACTTTTAATGAGTGGTGAATATAACTGAAAAACAGCTAAAACAGTGAAAGGCTAAATGATAACTGCTGACAGTAAACAGTGTGTTGCTTTGAGCAATCAGGCCTTATATTTCACTTGACTTTTATGGTAAAAAGGCTTGTTAGCCTGATGAAACAATCATTATTGGTGGATTCAAGGATAAAAATATGTACTTGTTTTTTTGAGAAAATTAAGGAATTACAATGATGTATATAATATGCCCCAATAACCCGTATTTATGTATCAACGTTTAGAAAATAATTTCAGGTACCCCCTGTAATACCCTTGTGTCCCCCTAGGGGTCCATCTCCCCTGTTGGGAAACAATGATACAGAATACATAAAATGTATCAATATAGCGTACATAAATTAAATGTTTTAACCAATCAATTCTGTATTGATCAGCAGATACCCCCCTTTCTCTGTAAATGCCACATTTACAAGACACAAGGTTTTGGAATATGCTCAATGCTTAAATAAGCCATCATATTTTACTAAAGTAATCGCTGAAGGTTTCAAATAAGGCCGCACCTCCCAGTAGTCTGGACTGGATTTAAAAAGTGCAAAACGTGAAAATAATCAGCACAGCTATGTTGCTCCCAATAAGTGTGATGAGGAAGGGCCTCGTCTGTAAATAAAAGACACTTATGGGAGCAACATAGCTGAGCACCTTTTTCTCACTAAAGTAATTGCTCACATAACTATGTGTGGTTGCAATAATATGTGGTTGATGATTAATAAATACAGTTGAAGGAAGTACAGCCAACGTGATGTTTTGGCTCTCAGATACCACTTACAGTACGTCCTTCTGGTTCTATTCCCTCAATATATCGGTTTCATGTTATACATTTTCCTTACTGTTTTTTCTTACTTTTCTGTTTTTTCTAACTTTTCTATTTATTGTATCAATTTCACTATAAATAGGTATTTAGCAAATGTATATATATATATATATATCGTATTGATTGCAATCTTTGAATGTCTCCACCTAGTGGCTCATATGTTTTTTTGTACACGGCTCTGTGGGTGTGGTTGACTGTGCACCCTTAGGTGCCTGCCCCACCCTATTTAAGAGAACTTCCTGGTGCTCTTCTCATGTTTGCTTGATGAAGGCATAACGCCGAAACGTCGCAGCTCTTTAAATAAATAATTTTTATTTGCAAGAAAGACTGTGTGCGGGATTCTTCTCTCTCATACATTGAATTAAAGAAATACAATCACTTTTCAACGATATTCTAACTTTATATATTTAGCATGTAACTTTCTATGTGATACAAGACAATAATGTATGCATGTATCCTTACCAGATTGAAGAAGGAATGTTTCCTGTTTGTGTCTTTGCAGACGAGGCTATGGGAGAAAACGGAAGGGGACTCCTGTCAAAGTATTTGTACCTGACTCTGGGGAAGGAACAGGACAAGGTTTGTCTTCCATTGGGCTATCTTGTTTTAGTGGGCATGAATAGGCGTAACTTGAGTATAGCGAGTTATAGCAAGGTTTAGGAAATATTCCCAATATTAAGGAAAGAATTTCCCACTTTTTTCCCAGTATTAATTCATTCCTTCTCACCATTATTCCGTAGGAAAAGGAGCTGCAAACATAGTGACAACAGTGGAAACAAATGACACACTTCCTCACAAACTGTAAGTGGAGAAATATTTTATGAAACTAAGACGTCTAGTTTGTGTTCTCCAATCCCCAATACCATAAACCATTGGTACTACTTAACAACTATACTAATCAAATGTTATTATATGTTTCCTTTCAGCCATAAAGTCTCCCATGTGTCCAAGGCCAGTTCTTATGCTCCATTCCCCGCTCATGCTCTTCCAGAAACATTACAGACCCTCCACGAGGCGTCAAGACACGCCTCTCCTCCTGCACCCAACTGTCGCATCCGAGAGGTCCACTGTGGCAATCAAGTGACCCTTGTGGTCATCGCAATTCGAGACATCACCAAGGGAGAGGAGATCACTGTGGATTACAGCTTGATTGAATGGGGAGAAAATCTGGTCAGTTTTAGATTCCTCATACTTTTCTGTTATTAACATTTCCCCACTGGGACAAATAAAGTATCTCTTATCTTATCTTATTCAAATCACCTGCAGCCATCAGTAAGAGGGTTTCAATGTGTCCATACTTGCTTGTCAAAACCTTCTCTGATCAGACATCGGAAGCTAAACATTGTGGGGCTTATAGCACTTGGATGGGAGGCTGCTGTTGTAAGTGCCACAGGGGCACACACTGATGATGTTTCCCTAGGCAGAAGACGCCAACCACATTGCCAAAGGATGGGGGTTGTAGAGTGGTGGGGGTTAGACGGACTGATTCTCGGATGGGCAGCCTCCTGTCTCTTACTCTATCACAGAGCGGATCGCAGGCCAGAATCTAATGCTTTTAATTAATGGTATTAATGATCATTGACCCTCAAATATTGTCCCATTATCCTGTTTATCCTTATCCATTGCAATAATCAATGTATTCTTGTAGCCTTCTTGTTATGGAGATAACAATGGTTCTCAAAAATGTGAGGGTATTTTTCTCTGCACCAAGCTGCCCATTTCATCAGCCGTGTTTGGACACATTTGATTGGACAGCTTTAGAACCAGAACCAATTAGAGAAAATCATTAGTAAATACTTTTATCTAGCAAAAAACAGTTGTGTGCTTTTCTCAACAAGTAAAATTAATTTACTCATAAAATCTGTATGTTTTCTGCACCTGATCCCAGACGCTTCCACATTTGACTTATGTGCCAAAGAAAGTTTTGTTAATGGCACAGACTGGAGTGGTTATCCATTGTAACCATGGTTATAGGAATATATTGCAAGTTTGAAGTCACACAAATAATCCAAAGTTGATAATGATTATTATAATTAAAATTTATTGCTATTTATTATTTATTTGTTTAAGTGTTTTCTTCTTTATGGTGTAGGAATTCAGAAGAGGTCTATCCCCTGGACAACTTGAAAGCTCTTCTGGGCCAGACAACAACACAATTAAAAAGGTACTCCTGTTTGTCTCCACAGAAATTCTGTTTTTTTTTTATCTTTTGGCTATGATCTTTCTAAGATGGTCAGAGAACTAGCAACTTCAAGAAGAGTGCAGTCAATTCCCCCCCTCAAGAAAGCTGATTAATGACACCACCTTGGCCAGGGAAAGCTCTATTCTAACCTTAACCCGAACAGACTCTGGGAATTAGCCATGATTTTGTGATACATTATTACAAACATTTTGACAGCCCTAACTGTAAGCTTTTTGTGCATGTAATGTGCTGCTTGCAGAAAGTGACATATTGTTAATTTGTATGTGTTCATTCATTCTAACACATATCAATAATGTATAATATCTTGACAGGAGGACGAGCCACTTCCTTTAACCGTGCAACAGCAGGAGCAGGTCTATGTTTCTTCCTCATGGACCTCTTCAGCCGCACACTCTAATGACAGCGTCTCAGAGCGAGAGGAAAACAACCCTAGCCCACGAGGACCCCTGCTTCAAAAGAAGCCTGGGAGCACACCTCCAAAGAAAAAGAGTTGCCATCGGACACCACCAGGCCGCACTCACCTAAGTCAGTGCATTTCTTCATCGGATGCACCTCCGCAGCAGCAGCCCTCATCTCCATGTAAATCAGCGTTTAAGGCCCCAGATATCCTCAGCGGCAGGAACTGTGTCACTCAAACCTGCTTCTATTGTGGACGTCATTTTCGATCACTGCGCCACCACTTGGACAAGCACCACGCCCATCAGCCAGACGTATGCGCTGCCTTGGTGGAGCGTTTTTCACAGATGCCTTGCTTACAAGCCCAGAGCCCCCACCCCGGTGATAATCCTACCAATCCACAGGCCCATGCAAAGTTGACCAGAGTCCAGGACCTTTCCCCACATTCAACAGATCTAACCACGGCCAATCACCCGCCTCTTGACTCCCTTTCTTCATCACAAAGTGCAGTAATTGTTCGTGTTATTGACCAGAACCCGCCGCCAACAGCTGTGGAAGGCCTAACTAAGGGGGGTAAGAAGAGGTCAAAGACTGTCCTGCAGAACGAAGAGGAGGAGCCTGTGAGATCAGGACTGAAAGCGGACAACGATGAGAATGTATGTGTTGAGAATTCCTCGGGTGACGCGACGGAGCCAATGAAATTAAAACTGGAAGATACTTTCGACAGTGATGCTGAAAACGACATAAGAGAAGTGGAATGTGACAGTGGCACTGAAGATAAAGAAAAGATGTCAAGGTGAGCCATCCTGTTATAGAAATCTGTTAAAGATAGCGTACAAGCACAAACAGCTAAGGTTGTCCCTATACACTACCACAAAAGACATCTAGAAATTCACACTGTTTAAGACTGTAAATTTGTACTGTTGCATTCTAATGCATTGTAGACTAAATTGTGCCTTAAATATTTACAACAATAATATGATAAATAAATGTAATCAGTTCTATTCATCAGTATTGTCAACTTTTCTCTTTTAATCTTGTGCCACAGCTCCTCTGGACGTGTTCAAATGCTGCCTCTCCTCTCCACCCTCGGGTCTCTCGTCCTCTACTTACGTCGTTTGCAGCACTCAGCGTTCCTGTCTCTGTCGCGCCAGCCTCAGTCAGCGGAGGCCTGGAGACTCCTGTGCCACTCCAGCCTGGTTCTGCTCATACTGTACAACCGGCGCCGCGAGTGTGAGGTGTCCAAGCTCTCCATCTCAGAATACCAGGCGCGTGTCACTCCCCAGAACCCCGTCCCAGTCCCCCCCGGTGCACCCCCTGCTCTCACCCCCCTGGAAGCTTCTCTGTCACCTTTCGAGCGACTGGTGTTGACCCATCTTCCACGAGTAGGGGTGCAGGGAAAACGTGGCCGAGTTCAGCCTCTTATACTGCCTCCTCATAGCGAGCCCTGCCTGGAGCTCCTCTTACAGACTCGCCACGGCGTAGGTGTGGACCCCGCTAATCCCTATGTGTTTGCCCGGCCGTACCACTCCCCTGCAACCCCCCTCCGCGGCACTGAACTTCTGCGCAGCCTGGCACGGTCCAGCGGGATGCCAAACCCGCGCACGCTGACACATACACGAGTGCGCAGGCAGGTAGGCATCCTCACCCAGCTGCTGCTCCTGGGAGAGGGAGAGGCCAGCGTTGTGGAAAGGCTGGAGTGCTTCCTGGAGCGAGAGTACCACGTCACGCAGAGCTGTGTGGACATCACCCAGGACGCTGGGCTGATGGCCCGAGTAGGCCGCGTGGTGCTGTGTGGAGAGCGTGATGGAGTTCTCTTCAGAGGGATGAGTCTGCATCACATCTGCCTAGAGCTGGATGGTGAGCTGAACAGGATATTGGATTTTTGGGTGAAATTGTAATTAACGTGATTGTTTAAATGTCTTAATTTATACAATTTTAGTTGAAATTAGACATGTTATTCTTCTCCTTTGCAGTAATGTCCCAGAACTCTGCTGACTCAAATTCAGAGAGAGAGTCAGATGGAGAAACGGCTGCTTCAAATCTGCCAAACGTCAAGAAGACGAAAGGAAAAGTACGACCAAAAAGGCCTAAGGACACCAAGCCTCTTCTCCCTTTGTCACCTTCACTCATCCCTCTTTCACCTGGGAGTCGAAGAGGCACAGGTAGTTCTGTTTTCAATATCTTCTGTACGTTTTTGGGCACTAGAAATATAGTGTGAAACCTGTGTGAAAGGCAGTTTTAAAATGGCACAGTCACTTATCATTCCTGATTCTACCAAAATCACCAAATCTTTTTAATGCACTCCACAGAACAGGTTCCAGACACAGAGGGGGCTACAGCTCTCAATGCACCAAATGCTGTAAAAACAATCAAGATTACATTTATTATTGCAATGAACTACGGAACATAAATTGATAAGTGTTGCTGATTTTTTGCACCCACAAGATAAAAAGGATGATGGTAATAATCAGGAATGTCATGTGAAAATATAACATTTTTTGCAGCCGCTTAAATGAATTAATGATAATGGGGAAGGCACATATAAGCTTTTTGCTTCTGCTTTCTCCTTTTGAGCTTTCTTTCTTTCTTGAATTATATGTGCATGTAAGAAAATATATAAAATATAATAAAACTGCTCAAATAAATGACATTACCGGTATGTTCCTGCATAAAAGGGACTGTTTTCCCTCCTACTCAGGGACAAATAGTTTACAGTAAAACTAGGAGCCTTTTTGTTCAGCACAAATGCCTTACAAAATGCGAATCAGGCATTTACTTCTTTATTTTAAGGTAAGGACTACGACTTGGTTCTGGTGTGTGCAATAACGGTTGTTGTTTATGCTGTTTGGTGCTTGCACAGGAAAACGGGGCGTTCTGAAGCGCCCCTGGTCTGAGGCTGAGCGTGCGGCGGTGGAGGAGCATCTGAACCAAAACATAAGTGAACTTAGAGTTCCAGCTAAAGCCGAGTGTGAGCGATGCCTGCAAAATAGTCCACTGCTGGTCAACAACCACCGCGACTGGAGAGCCATCAAGTTCTACTGCCACAACCGCATCCAGCTGCTCAAGAAGCTTCAGAGACAAGAGAGCCAGCCCCTTCCAGTCTGCTGAAGAGAGGCCGCAAGGACAAGTCAATAGACTGGTGATTTCAAGAAATCTGTGAAAAAATAAAAAATAAAAAGTCTGTTTATTTGTCTTGTCAACAATGTTTTTCAAAACGAAATTAACATTTACACATTAACAATGATGTTATGCCTGTGTATCATTTTGTAGCAAACTCATGTTTAAAATGTATTTGTGTCTGTAAACATAATGTTCAGTATAAATATGTTGGAAGTGCTCCATTTGGTACACTTATACTTGTACAAATGTAATTTTTTTGTATAAAGATTAAAATGGTGTGACTATCTTGTCTATCTTTATAGGTCTACCGTATGTTTAACAAATTATAGAAACTTTTTATAGCCTATTGTTTTATGTTGTATTTTGAGTTCTCTCGAATATAATAGTATTCTACAATGTTGCAGTTACTATGTACAACTCACAGCCTGGAGCGGAAACCTAGAACTACATTGACACCACTTTGACTTGGATGTAGTTGTGTTAAATTCCACTTGTACAGCAGATGGCAGTAGAGACTCGCAGCTTCTCAAAGTGAAGTCCTCATGTGTCCGTGAGGCCTATGGCTTAAATCAGTCGGGGTCATGCGAGCCACTTCCCAGCTGGGGTACATACAAATATGTATTCAAATGCTTTTAGAGGCAGCAACTGCCTGTATTTGAGATTTGAGTTTGACCAAAACCCTTCTGGGAATGCCACTGCACATTTATTGTTTACATAAAGCTTAAAGCCTATACTCTGGGGTTACAATTGCAATACACAACTGTAAAGATTAAAATTAAGAGATTCGTTAATTGTCACACAGTGGGTACATTTCAGTGTTTGCAACATAGGTTTCAGAACAGTAGGAATGAGGAGCACACAAACACAAAATAAGATAAGAGAATCTTCAGTATTGCATTGGGGCGACAGTGGCCCAGTTGGACCATTGTCCCCACAGACTCCCATTGATGCAGTACAATAATAATAATGCATAAAATCAATGCATTATTATTATTATTAGCACAACTGTAAACTAAAACATTTATATTTTATTTGTACTTAATCGTAAAGTGAATATTGGTACCTCTGCGTGGCTGACCTCTTTGAACTTGACCAAAAAAAATCAAATAACCCCACATGCAACATGGTCACTAAAGGTCGTGGCTGCGGTCCCCGGGCCAGACAGGCATGTTCTCCCTGTATCCCGTTATTATTATAGATCCATGCTATATCCGCATATGTTTCCCCCAAAACGTGTACAACAGTTCAGGGTGTTGGTGAGTGTCAGGCTACAATCCAGAGAGACATGTTCATTCACATACACCGTGCGCCAGCCAAATAAATAAATCAGAAGGGTTTTTTCATATGGTAAGGTGTTTTGTCCCTTGATGTCCAGTTTATGAGGATGACTTTCTGGGCAATATTTAGAGACCCAAGCAGCTGCTTACTGTTGCTCTGGATGAGGCTGGTTTTAGAAGTGTCCCGAAGTACTCAGAGGGGCGGCAACATTTTGATGAGAATGACAGTTTGCGGTATTGTCCAGTGTGCCCCAAGTGCAAAAGTCTTCTGACGTCACAACCCAGGACCACATCACATTATGGACTACACCAAAAGTTATCATCCAATGGACATTTTCCACTATATTTTTTTGAAAGGTTGGAAAGGGCAAACACCAGGGGTTTTTTGAGAGTGTTATGTGTATTGATTCATCTCATTGTGGTCCAAACACACAACTTGACATTTAAAATCCACTGACACTCTCGCCTTTCTTGCTTTTGTGGTTTGGGGGTAACTATTTTTATTAACTCAATTCAATTTGGGGATCCTATACGACACAGTCTATGATAGGAACACAGGGACGAGCCTCCTCTAGTGCCCAGAGTCAGAACTAAATATAGAAAGGCAGCATTTCAGGTTTTATGCAGTTAAAACGTAACATAACTCTTTTAAACTTTCACTTTTTAAAGGAGCATTATGTAAAAATCTGGCCAAAGGTGGTACTGCAGTTACAGTCAATATTTTGTAGTCCTCTCCCACTCTCCCTGACTCAGGTTGCCAGATACACACCAAATCCAGCAGCAAACACAAGGAATTATTTTATCAGTTGTTTGTCTGTCTCCATTCACATTGCCATGAGCCGTGCTAATGTTGAATAAATGTTTTGAATGAATGTTTTTTAATTTATTTTTATTTGGACATCTGAGATGAGAAAAACAAAATAATTATGCATAGATTATGCAAAATAAATAAGTAATTGATGTCCAAAATAGGAGTGGGAAGAATGGATGTTGAAACGTATTTCTTCAGCGTATCAACATCAGGGTTTGCTCAAGAGGATATCACCTTTCAATTTTATTTATTCCCTATTTTTTAGACATGTGTATGTCCCACATCAAAAAGAGACTAACATTATTTTAATTGGGGTACATGTTGGTCTTAAATTATTCTTATTACAATTAAGCTTTAATCTGCAAATAACGGCTTGTTTTTACCTTTTACCGTTTTTGAGCAATCTGTCATAGAATATAACATATATAGTTTAATCCAAAACATATCCCGCCGGGACTCGAACCAGGGACGCTGCGCTGAGATTTAACCATTAGACCACCATTTCAAACAAAGTGTTGTGGACTCCAGGCGGGTACTTTAACTGTCAAGAAGGAACGCATTCAACGCAGCAAGTTTTGCATCACGGAAAGTTTTGCATCACGGAAAGTTTTTATCTGCCTTCAATTGTCTCAATTTTTCAAAGGTGTCCCGATATAAATCCTCGTTTTAGTCTTTGTTTTGTCATTGATGTTTTGAGAATCATAACAGGACTTCTTTTAATCCTGCGGCCACATTTTATTAGTGAGATTAGCTAGCCGCGGGGAGTTCTGGCAACCCGGATCTCGGACTTCCTGACATCGAAATTAAAACAAAAATAATTTTTACAGGTCGTAAAACTAATTTTGATATTCAAATACAGTATCTCGGCTGAACTACTGTTATCAGTTAAAGATGTTTTTGAAAAAAGCAGGATTTAATAATGCCTTTTTAAATATTGGGGCCATTTAATGATGAAAATATTTCATAATGCTACTTCAACTCTCTCTCACAGAGCTCTTTGGCCTTCTTTGGCCATGTACATGTGTTTGGACTGACAAAAGATATTGAGAAAGGTAACCCGACTGATTATATAAGCAGGTTGTTTAAAGAACTCTTTCAAGGCAAAATACAGTCGGAACCAGAAGTCGATGTGGCGCACCGGGTCGGGCCAGTGGAGAGAGCCACAGAAAGAGCAATAATTGTGCGTCTTCAGAAGAGGACAACAAGAGGAGATCTTAAAGGCCGTAAAAATAAAAAGGTGTTACATATTCGCGGGATGAAGTTGAGGATTATCCCACAGAGATGGCCAAGAAATGAACCAGCTTTTGGGAGACACGATCCAAACTGAGAGATGCCGGAGTGAGGCACAGGATCATTCATCCAGCAACGCTCATCATAACATTCAAAGGTGAGACTAAAAATGAATGGAGAAGAAGAATGGATAAAAAAAAGAGACATGATAAAGGTACTCTGGATACGATATGAAAAAAGAAGAAATAACAGTCAAACATATGACTAAGACACTAGCCATTACATTTCATATATGATATTATTATACGGCTCCTCACAGCAGCAGTAAAACGCTCCATTGATTTGAATGTAATTTCAAAACGTTCTACCGGTCATTATTTTCTATAACGGACCTCTCAAAACAATAATGGCCGCTGCCCATGGCAACGCACTCTCTGCTTGTCTTTCAGATGTGTGGATAACTCTGAAAGTAGTTCTGGCCACTCCGGAGTTAGCCACGCTCAGTAAACGCAAATGCCAATCAATCAACGCAATGAAATGTTAATCGGATATACTGTATACTGTATAGATATACAGTCTTAATACAAGTGCACGGAAGATTTCAGAATTTTCCGTTTACGTTTTCATGACAAAAACACTGATGTAATGTGAGAAAAGGCGATCCCGAAAAACCCGGAAGTAGATACCGGCACATTTTCGGACACATTTGCAGAGGATCGAATTATGGATTTAGGTTAGGTTTATGTTTGGGTCACTCACCGCCCATGTTCAGAATTCTTTGTTCAGTTTTCAAGCAGTTCCAGAGAGTTCTAGTTTGGAAGTTGCCAGCCTAACTGTTGCACTAGCATAGCCACGGGAAAGCCTTTGGGAACTATTTTATTTTCTGTCATTAAATAAACCTTTCAGCATTCCTAAAAGTGGACTGAAGTTGATGTTGTGTGTTCTGTTGGTATAAAGCCGTACAATAAGAGGCTTCGCCCTGTCGGTACTTATTTTCCGATAATGACCTGCGTAATATACGTTATCCCTTATTTATAATTTTTTCTTTGGGCATCGAATTAGTCAATTGGAAGATTTAGTTTGAACAAGAGACTGCGTGACTCGCTGTGTATCTATAGTGTATCTATACTTTCATTACAATGCTGATGTGTGTGAATGCGTGTGTTTGTCGACGCTCTTTGAAGGCTCTGTGTAAAACCTATTTTTTGTAAAACTCATGGTGAAAAATAATATTGATTTTGGAAAATGTGGATTCAAGATAGCTCATTTAAATGTGTGTATCTTAAGAAATAAAGTGAATGAAATGCAAAAATTATTGCAGAACTATAATTTACAGGTGTTAGTACAGTATTATCTGAAACACATTTAGACTATAAATAGCCCTTCTTTAAGTATAGATGGATACAATATTTACAGATTAGATAGGAATGCACATGGTGGAGGAGTAGCCTGTTATGTTCAAAGTCATATCCCAGTCAGAGTTAGAAATGATCTCAATGTTATATTGGGTACAACTACAACTGCCTCATATGAAGCCTGTTCTTATTGGATGCTGCTACCGACCTCCAAGTGCTGCCAAAATGTATCTAGATCGAATGTGAAATGTTGGATAAGGCATGTGATGGTAAAAATGAAATATTCTTTCTAGGAGATTTAAATATAGACTGCTT